ATCATCATCATCATCATCATCATCATCATCATCATCATCATCATCATATAGTATATATAGGACGGAATAGGATCTATACCCAAATCATGGTTATGGCAATGGACGGTCATGGTCTCCAGAATATTAAAAACCGGTGGGTGGTGGTTTTCCACGAGACCATGAATCTTCCTACCCTGAGGATCCGGACCCTCAAAACAAGCTGTTATAGAGGGTACAAAGCCCTGTGAACAGCAGGGTTCGACCCCTACGAAGGTGTCAGGTCCAAGGGATCCTTATGGGTAGGGAGAAGAACCAGCATCCATCGGACATCCGGACGCAGCAGACCTCCGACCTCACTCCCTTCTCAACCACCGAGGAGATGAGGCCACGAACGGGGCAATGTGATCGAGATGACGCATTGCTCATGTAGCATCCCATCGTCACATGAAAAATGCCCAATGAGGTATGTGACGCGGGAATGCCTATTGCTTTCATCCAGCCGCTGCCACTTCATCTAGCAGATTCGGCTCGCTTCACATGTTTCTTGAAAGCCGGGGAGTTTTAACAACTGTCCCTCCGAGGCAAGCTGTGCCTGTGCGTTTGTGTAGCATCTGAGGAATTTTAAGGAAAATCCATGGACCAAGAGTCACAAAGGGGTGCCTTTTGGAGGATAGGGGTGGCCATTATCCACTCACTTAGGGACTAAAAGCTACTCTTTGTCACTCTGGCAGATGGGGCTTTTCCCGTGAAACGGAGTCCAATCCAAACAAAAGTCCAACGCGTTTCTCCCGGGGCTAGAAACTACTTCGACACGTCCGTTGAGAGTCTTTCAGCCGGTGTATGTCATCAAACGACGTAGGACATTTAGTTGTGAGCCAGACTAATGCAGGCTCTTGATTATATAATAACCTGCCCCATTGAATTGAAAAGCCTCTTCACATGGGACATGTATTAATCAAGAGTCTACATTACCTGGGTTTATTATCTATCGACTCGGACCCATGGGAAGGGGACTACAACAACAAAGACGTTGCTTCTTGCCCGCGGCGCCTCTCACTCGGAGCTGGATAGTTCACATGTCATCGTGCGGCAAACGTACCACCTTTGCACCACTCGTGTCAGAGCCACCTGAAGAAGCGCAGCTGAAACGAGCTGACTGGCATCATGAAGTCTTGAAGCATCGGGAAGCCACGTCACATGAAGCAAGTTGGGCATCAAGATGGTCGACTATAGAAGGCAGGTTGGCATTCAGAAGTACTGCGAAACATCAGTGGCTTTGAATGTAGGAATGGGGCAGTTGGAGCAAGCTACCAACTTCGCCAAATGCACAAAACGTGCAGTGTGAATAATCTGTCGCGGTTGAAGCCGTTTCGGCTCCTGCCAAAAGAGTACAGGCCTGGTAGCGAGATCATCCGTGCCACCTCAAAAGGCTGCCCTTGATGTGTAAAGATGGCCAGAAGACTCCACCCTTTGTGTTTGTTGAGGTTGGCCTTATCTCAGACCGTCTCATTCGCTGGCGTTCGCTGGCGAACATCTCATGACTTTTGATGCTTCAGCTTTGCTGTCCGAACTCCACCCGTTTCGACGCGTCACGCGTCGTTTCACAGAAACATGCATCAACCATTTTGCTTCATCAAAGGCGCATGCAGCGACAAGCAAACACATGACAAGCAAAGCTGGCTTCCTGAAAGTCAAGCTGCCATACAGTTTTCCTTCGGCATTCGAATGCTAAAAAGAAAGCTTGGACCCATCAGCTGAGTGAGATCTCTTTGAGAAGGCCCTATAGTTCCTTTCAAGAAACGTCCAATGAAGTCATGGGTTTCTGGTCCATGGGTTTGTGGTTCATGCTGAAAAAGTCAGCACGTTGTCACTGAATCTGTTTGTTTCTATTATGTTCATTCATAATTTGTGTTCTATTGCTATTGGGCAAGGGACATCACGAGTCGACCACGAAAGCACCACGGGCCATCGTGTGTTCCGTTCCACCAAAATCAATGGCCCATGGGCCCGGGCCAAACATCGCGGGAGTTCCAACTCTTGCTCGATGGGAACATCGATCTGATGGCAGTGAAACCTCCTCAGGCGGCAACAGAAACTGGAGGAAAAGCGGCGCGCGTACGAGTACGCTGGCGGAGACGAGTGGCACGGGTTTACACGTGCGGTTTCAGGAGAGTGGCCCTAAGGTTCGTGAAGAATTGATGGCAATTCTTCACCACTCTGGGCAGTTGGAACTGGCCATTTTTCCAGCTTTGCTGGAGTTTGAGACTGTAGTCACTTGCAGGTCCTACATGAGCTTGTACCCCAACTTGCAGCACACAACAACCCACTCTTCAAGATCAGAACTGAGGATATGTGCGAAAAAAGTAAAAGGTCAAGTGGCTTCTGCAGACACCCCCCAAAAAAGAACACGTTTGTTGGACAAAAAGCTGGCAACATGCATTTGTTGGTCTTTTTCCGCAGCCTTTTTTCTTTTCGGCTCAAAAGTTCTTAACAGCCAGCCAGCCAGTTGCCGACGCCCCCCATGGCTCCATCGACGAGGAACGAGCTGGAATTCTGTCGCAGCTTTCGCAGCAGCTGAATTGTGAAAGAACGTCCAACACCGACCATGTTTTAAATTGTTGATTTAGTGCAATATCGACAATACCCTTCTAACCATTGTATAACCAGTGCAATGGCCATTGTATATCATTGTATCTGGTTTTGCAGTGCAAGAATCCTTTGTAAAACAATGTAAAACAGTGGTTGCTATGAAATGAATGGTGGTTCGACTTCGAGGGGCTAAATTCATTAAAGCAGTCATTGAATTCCAACAAAGACGGATCAAAACAGAAGAAATCCATAGGTCACAACTGTTCAACATCTTCGACAAAGCGTAAGAGTGTGATCCCTCTTAAGAGGTTGATGTCATAGTCACAGAAGAGCTTGAGGACTCGTGACAGCTGGGTTTGGCTGGGTTTTTTGGGGGCCTTGCAGGCGTTTTCCGTTCCTCAGCCTGGGTGTCTTCCAACTCTCAACAGGGCGCTTTGCTGTGATGTCTCTGATCGACTGTGATGTCTCCGGCGCGCATGTGCGCGCGTGTGCGCAAGTCCTACACAGCCAGCGTTCCTGCGGTTCCTGCGGCCTTCGGCTTGGCCCAAAAGCAGTTCTTCCAGCAGTCACATGTCAGGGTGGTGGACATAGTCCCATCCAGTGAGTGGATGTGACAGGAGCACCCCGACTACCTCCATGGATCGCACCTCGTGGAACGTGACTACTGGTTCAACATGCTTGGTTTTGGTCCAACATGCTTTCCCTACCCCTGTGCCCCACTCCCATCCGAAATCCACCCACCGGACACTGAGATGGACCGGACCGTGGACGAAACGCCGTTTTGGGATCGACTCGTCGGTTTCGAGGAGCTACGGCCCAGCCGCAGTGGCGGCCTGTGTGGATGCCAAGGGAGGACCAAGTCTTCAACCACCATGCGATTGTGTGGAGACTGTAGAGATGTGAAGAAAAGCCACGTGGGGTGTCCAGATGTTTGTGGAGATGCCAGGCGTGGAATGCGCGATCCATACATGAGCCTTTTTTTCATGCCAGGTTTCAAGTAGAAGAGCAAGTTGATGCTGCTCAATATCATTCAATGTACCAGCAGTCACAAAGGGGTGCCGAACTTGGAGGATAGAGGTGCCCAGCTACTCCACTCACTTAGGGACTAAAAGCCATCCCTTTGTGACTGCTGGTA